TTTTTCAGCTTTGACATGTTCTCTAATTAGCTCTTTTTATCTTGAGTTTCAGGAGAAGATTGTTCAATATGATGAATGATCTCCCTACAATTTTTGAGATTGTATCTGGGACAGCCAAGAAACAATCAAAAGAAAAGTCATCTGTGTCAAATCACAGCAGCACCAAGTCTAAGTCAAACTCAAAGGTAGTGATCAATGGTACCTTTGTTCCATGTTCCCTTCATCTTGACAGATGGAAGTTTTGCCTTTCTAATTTGTTTTTGGATTGAATGCCTTAGCTGAAAATATTCTTTATAAGTTCGTTGTTATGAGGTGATTACAAAACTCTGTATTTTCTAGCATTAATATTTTGATATTTTGGCCTTTTAGGTTCTTCGGTAACAGGGTGTTAAGTTAGTTCTATTACATCCGGCTGATTTAGGCAGCACTTCTTCTGTTTCAAATGGTTATATTTAGATTCTAGGCTTCTTAGATTTTTGAATCATGCGGTGTGAATCTCTTCGGCATGTGTACCTCTCAGTTAAGCATTGTACCCTTTGCTATCTGATACCTTAGTTTTTCTTTTATGAAATAGCAAATGCTTCAAGTTTTAGTCCAATACCTGATATTAATAACTACAAATTTCCTTTTCGGTCTTTGAGATGTTGGTGGACGTTATTCTGAATTAACTGCACTTCCTCCAAATATGTATAGGTTTGTTCTAACTCGGATCTCATTGGTAGATAGGCTGCTTATGTGTTTATTTGTTTTTCAACCGAAACTGAAGGAAGGTTACATAGACTAACCTGCACACCATTCTCCTTCAGACTAAATAGATAAGCCATCTGTCTAGGAAACCTGAACAGCCTGTTTGAAATATACAGAAAATTTGACAGCTCACTGACTCCTTAAGTTGAGGTATTTTGCACTTGTTAGCTTTTTATGTCTATAGAGATGTTATTCTGTAAAAACAAAAAAAGCTGTAAGTGGAATTACTGTTTCATGTGCCAATTTTAACCTTATTCAATCTGATCATAGGTGACACAACGTGGATCTGAATCCCAAGCCAAGTATTCAAGACCACAACCAAAAGATGAGGATGAAGATGGTTTGGAAGATGACGAGCAAGGAGAAACACTATGTGGGGCTTGCGGTGAAAACTATGCATCTGACGAATTCTGGATCTGCTGTGACATATGTGAGATATGGTTCCATGGGAAGTGTGTTAAAATCACTCCTGCTAGGGCAGAGCATATCAAGCAGTACAAGTGCCCATCTTGCAGCAGCAACAAGAGAGCACGCCCTTGATTGCACTTTCTTTATTGGGTCACACTTCGTGGACTTGGGAATTGTTAGCTAGATCTTTGTCCAGTATGAGAAATGGAGTTTTTTCGAGAGGCTCTTGAATGTCAGATTTGTTTCTAGGTTGTCAGTCGAGTTTCAAGTATGTAGTTGTCTAGTTTGAGTTATGTAGTCCGGCGTGCTGTTTATTATTAGGTTGCACATCTGAATTGTTCTGTAGGTTTAAAGTTATGGTATCAAAACTGTTCAGTGTGTATGCTATTAACGGAAGCTGTTTTTTCTCAGCGATATGGCAAGGATACATTGCTCTTCAAAATCTTGTTTCATGACCTTTTCTTTTCCTGCTGATTAAGCTTTCCCTGCATGAAATGGATGAGAATGGCCTATGTTTCATGTTTTATGTGTTCTGGTGACTGAGGTTACCAACACCATTCTTGAGCATTGGCTGCCTATCCCTTTATTCAGAGACGTGTTTTAAAATGTAGTATGAGGCTATTTTATTTCTATACAAATTTTATAATTTTCAACAATAATAATTCATTGAATTGTTCCACTTATCTCCTTTCAATTGCTCCTACTATATTAGTAGTATTTTCCTTGCATATCGCTAATTGAATTGTTAGTACTATATAATATGTTGTAGTATTCGATCAAATAGCATCACATAAAATAAAACATTGGAAGTAAACTGAATAGAAGCAGCCTGTAACGATGAAAAATATCTTTGAAATTATGCACCCATACAGGAAAGCAACTTAAGTATTTCCCTATTAAATTAATCTCAGTAATAAGTCTAGATCTCCTTATTTGATTAAACTGTTGCCTATATTTTATGGATATTTCACAGATAAAGTTATCTTCCGAAGATTGAATTAATTAATTTAACCAGTCCTTTGTCTAATCTTTGGATATTCAGAAAAGTTGATTATTGAACTAAGGCAACTAACTTGTCACATTCACTAGTAACTACGCTGTATTTCAAAGAGCAAAAAAATCAAAATAGCTTTTAATACATGAGCTTAAGATTATTTTAGTTCCTGATATATACTCTTGAACACAAGTAATTCTTAATGTTTGCAAAATGTAGACATAATTAATTCACAACCCTAAACCTAACGGGAGACAAAAATTTAGAAGTCAAAAAGACATTAAGGCTTTTTTTTTTTCTTTTCCAAATTAGGTACTCTTCTGTCCCAATTTACATGACAAACTTTGACTTAACACGAAGTTAAAAAAAATTAAAACTTATAATTTTAAATATGTAATAGTATTGTGACTATAAAAGTATGTCAAAGGTATACTCTTTTTTAAATGGATCCAAAAAAAAAAGTGTCACATGAAATGAAACACAAAATTATTTAATATAATCTCACTCTGATCATTTAGACTTTTCTTCTTTTTTTCTTCTTCCACATTTCATAGGTGCAACGGAAAGAGTCCGGAACCAAAGTATTGTGTTTTTGGACTCTAGAGACCAAAATAGGTGCAAAAAAGAGTTGAGAACCATTTTATATATAGTGCATGTTTTACATGCGCTATACGTTAACGATCAGTTATCCCGTTAACGTATAGCGCATGTAATACATGCGTTATACTTCATATTATGACTGCCATGATGATTAACAATGTAACGCATGTAATAAATACTCTTTGTGTACATCACATATATTACATGTGCTATATGGGTATTTCACGTGCCTAAGGAATTTATAGTTGCTTACTTAAGGCCGAATATTCATTCTTGAAAAAATTATTCTTGAGTGAATTTGAACTAACTTGCCTTTGTTCTTCAGCATCCTTTATACATCCCTTCATCTTCATCAATATATATACAATGTTCTCTTTAAATCTTGCTACGATGTTTGATGCGAAAAATTAGAGTTGCATTATATTGGGGCGGTGAGACTGTGGTGGAGAATAACTCGGTGCGCTATAATTGTTCTATATAGTGTATTGTTAAGGTGCCACTCACATTGGAGTACCGCAAATTGCTATCTCTGATTTGTAAAAAAATGAGTGTGAGTAACCGTTCGGTTAATTTTAAGGTAACCGGAAGATATCCGTATCGCTTACTCCACAAGGTGTGACTTGTTATGCCGAGCTTAACGTCGATGACGAGGATACTCTGCAAAATATTTTGAGGACTTCGGATGAACACAGGGATGTTCTTGTGTTAAGTATGCTGGAAATGTACGTAAAGTCCGAAGACATCAGCAATACTGATGTTCCGCAAACTACAACTAACACTCAACCATCTGGTGGTATTTTCGGATGGTTTATTAGGTTCCGTATGAAAGAGTCCGGCCAGATCTAAACTTATCTGCACGAGTTAACAAGGAGCGAGGACACAATTTCTCGCCAATGCAGCATCATGGAGGGTCGCCAAGTTTACAGAATTCACAGGCAACCCTGACCACGCGAGCCACCCTAATTTTCTAGCCAATGATTTTTTCAAGAATGAGCGTATGACCTTAAGTAAACAACAATAAATTCTTTAGGCATGTGAAATGCCCATATAACACGCATGTAATATATGCGTTGTACACATAGCGTATTTACTATATGCGTTATACAGTTAATCATCATATCAGTCGTAATAAGCAGTATAGATGTATTAGATGCGTTATACCTTAATGAGGTAACTGACCGTGTGAACGTAGAGCACATATAAAACATGTGCTATATAAAAAATAATTCTCTAACTCCTTTTTACACCTATTTTAGTCTATTGAGTCCAAAAACACAATACTTTGGTTTCGAACTCAGAAGGAAAGGGTAGATATAAAGAGCCAGCCACCTACTAGTGGCCAAACTTCTGACCAACAGTTGCTGTCTGTTCAGGAAAGACAAGGACAATCACACTTTACTGCATTCTGCTGATGCATTTTAAAACGACTCTCTGAATTCTCAATGATATTACTCCACTATATATGTAATTGCACTCCTCAGCAACAATGTGACAATATTAAGAATCTTTAAAGATATGTAATCTGCAGTTTTTACAACTTACAACACTTATTAGTATCATTTCTTAATTTTTTACTAATAAATAATTCAAGCACTTTATGAGATGATAAAAAGACGGGGCTTATTTAACGATTACCCCACCAGGCCACCACAACACTTTTTCAAGCTTTCAACCCTAGAGATTATGATTTTGTATGTACCGCAATTGGGAATCTAGGAGATTTTATTTCTATAAGTCAGAAGGATGTCTACTTTACTTACCTCCTTTTGCTTGCTTAACTAAGAAAAGAAAATAAATACAAAAGGATGTATGCCAAATCCACTTTGACATAAAATGGGATAGAAAATGGTCATGGTATTGGGTCCCAAAACAAGGACAGTTACACCAAGTCACCAACGACCACTTCTTATTATCCGAATTTGCATCAAATTAATCCAAAAAAAAATCATTTCCAAGACTCAAATCCTGAGCAATTTTTTTTGTTATATTGGTAAAAAGGGGGGGACAATGGCAAAAAGTGCAAGCTTTTTATACAGTCAAAAGAAAAGGAAAATAGCAAGACAAGAAATGTCCTGCAAATTTCAAAGTACAGTTTCTGAAGAGTAGAGTTTAGCATCAAGCAGCGTGAGGCCAATCCTCAATTTCCTGATATTCAAGAAATTTACAATCACAAAAAGCTTACACTAAAGAAGCTTCAATCTTTCTAGATTGAAACATCTTTTAATATATAGGATAGGAGTAGGACAAGAGACAACATGAAATGCAAAATAATATTAACTAAATATTGCTACATTTTTTCTACAAAATCTACAGAGTGTTAATATACAATTTAGTCAAAAGATAAGAAAAAAGAAAGCTGCAAAAGGATTGAACATATATGTCCCCTTTCCCTCTTTAGTATCTTTACTGTTTGTATGCAAGATTTCATCAAACAAAGCTCTCTTGATTCTTGGTGGATAACCTTTTGAGGAACTCATAAGTAGTGATCATAGTTATTGCAGACATAGACATTGATGTCCATCTTGGACCTAATCCTCTATAAGAAGCACCTAATCCACCTTCCTTCACTAAATTCCTCACTGTCTGTAAAATTGTTGGTCTTCTCCTACTGTTACTACTACTACAACACCATTCTTGATCATCTAATACTTGCAATCTTGTCTTCACAGTGTCAAGTGGCATTGTCACTAATGCAGATATTCCACTAGCCAATGCTGCACTCAACCCTTGAACTGCCACCATTGCCTTCCCATTTGGCGTATAACCACACTCATCGTCTTTTTTGCAAAAATAGCCGCCAATTGAACTCCATATCACTCTATGAGCAATAGAGTATGAACCCCACCAAACTGCATTTGAAGGTGCATAAGTCAGTATTGAAATACCAAATCCTCTATACAATCCCCTCAAACCATCACTACAAATTATCTTTCTACACGCGTCGATCCCACCATTATAATACTTCAATCCAACAACACCACAGCTAGAATTTCCACTTCCTTGGACCATTAATCTCTGACTCACAACATCAACTGGGGTCCACACCAATTGGGCAGCCAATGCAGCGCTAAGACCAGCAGCCGCATTGGCAATGGCCGAGGAAGATGCCTCGGCCAATCCCAACTTATTAGTAACAGTTCCAACATTGCTTTTGGTCATTTCGAGCGCGCCCATATATAGGGCGCGCGCAGGAATAGTCCCCGTGAGGGAAGTACCAAATCCTCTGTAAAATCCTCTGTACCCTTCACTCCTCAACATGGATACTGCCATTTTTAGACATGGAATTTGCTTACTCATAACTTGCTGCCGCGTTTTCAACACTACAATCGGATACAGTGTGACCGAGACACCAGAAAATAGCGCAGCCCCTAAGAAAAAAAACTTAGATTTATCAAGCATTTCCCAATTTATATCTGCAGGAAGTTGGATTTTTGAAGTGGATTCATTCTCTGCCATACTCACGCTCATTTTCACCACTTTTCAAATTCGCTATATTAAAACGCCTCAAACTACAATTCAATCCCAAACAAGTTGAGGCCTGAATCCTCAAGCCAATAGTATCCAAAATAAAAATAATAAGGAAAAGTACTAAAACTTCATTATACTTTCTACTAACATATAAATCTCTGACTACAATGCATCAAACCAAATTAGTTAAATTCTATACTCTATATATTTTCCTAAAAATTAGCAACTCCCTTCAAATTAAATATTCTAAACTCACTTAGTATCTAAATAATATCTACTAGAAAGAATGGAATATAAAGAAAAGATAAAAGAGGAAAAAGGAGGAGAAAAACAGAAAGTAAAACCAACCCTAGTAGTACTAACTGCTGGAGTTCTCAATCAGATCAATAAACGCTGCACATAAAAAGTTACAACGTATACCTATATCTAATACTAGTAATTATATATGTGTAAATTGCTTTTGTGGAGGCTGATTTGAGAGCTAAAATGAATCAGCATAGAAGGATGTAGCATCTCCTATTATTTCTGAGGGAGAGAGAGAGAGTTTTGAGAAGTGAGAAAGCTTTGATCTTTTTATTTATAGTGACAAGTGTAACAGCGAAGAGGCGGCTGAACACCGTAGAAATGAAGAAAGGGTTGTGGATTTGAAGCCGAGGGTTTGTGTATGTGGACACGTGTCAATCAACATATGAGATCATGTTATGTGTTTAGTACAAAATTTAAGAAAGCAAGAACACATTCATATTTTCTGGTGCTATACTAAATATTTATGTCCCTCAGAAATCAGAATATAATGAAAAACTAACGAAATATAGAAAGTGAATTCTTTTCGACCATAACTATATATTATGTATATAAATTAAAACGATGGGAATAATATATACTATAACTCTATTGATGGTATATTGTGTACTAACAATAGTCTGTTGTTTAGGAAGTTATTTATTCATATTTGTTTTACATACTGAGATTAGATTCTTAAATAATTTAATAATATAACAACAACAACAACAACAACGACAACCCAGTAAAATTCTACTAATGGGGTATGGGGAGGGTAGTGTGTACGCAGACCTTACCCCTACCCCGAAAGAGTAGAGAGGTTGTTTCTGAAAGACCCCCGGCTCAAAAAAACAAAAAGACAAAAAGACAAAAAGGGAGACAATATTAGTATCACAACAACAATCATAGGATAAATAGGAACACCATGAAATCCAGAAAAAAGATGCAAAGCAAAGGGAGACAATATTAGTATCACAACAACAATCATAGGATAAATAGGAACACCATGAAATCCAGAAAAAAGATGCAAAGCAAAGGGAGACAATATTAGTAAATATTAGTATCACCACAACAGTCATAAGAAAAATAAGAATACCATGAAATCTAGAAGAAAGATAAAAAGCCAAATAATATAACACTTCTTTATAATTATTTATTCATAATTGTTTTACAGAATACTATTTGGTATTAGATTCTTAAATAGTTTATAATTATAAAAGTTGATTTGTGCATGAACTGACAAGGATATATATGATTTCAACCAGTTAGAAGAAGGGGTGCAGATTTGATGGCATGCTGATTACATAAACTGTGGGTAAACAGGTGGCTAGCAACAGTGGGCTCATCACTTTTGGCGTTGGCAGCCATTTATTTTTTCATACCTCCTTGTGAATTTAAGGTATTATATTTCTTTTTTGAAAGAATTTCTTTAACTTGTCGAGAGTGTCAAATGGACGGATTAAGTATATTTTTCGCAAATAGTTAATCAAATTAATAAACAAACTGGATCATAATTCGCAAAATATTTGTTTGGTTCATGGATGGATCAATTGAAACTAAACAATATGCATATAACTCAATCCTCCCAACTAATAGTCATTTTTCATTCTTTGTTTGTTCTTTTATAATTTATTTAATCACCAAGTTAAACTAATAAAACTTTTTTTTTAAAATTTGTTATGACATTATCAGACGGATCAAACAAAAGAAAAGCTTATTATTCTATGTTTTGATCTGCTTTTTATATGCTAATTTTGGGTTATATGTCGGGGTGGACCAAACTTTTAGATGAGTTAACTTAGTTTAGGATTCTAGTTCTTTTAAGTTAATGAGTTTTAAATAAATAATTTATGTATATTTAATGAATTTCTTAAAACAAATATAGAGTTTGGATCAAAGGTAAAATAATCCGGCAATGGATATGTGTTTTGCCCAAATCGTCCATGTCTAAACGGACATAATGACTAATATTTTCATGAGCTAAATGTGACCACTCGTGATCGCATCCTTCTTAATTCGCTTGATGAACATCAAAGAGCTTCTTGGACTAATTTAGAATCGGGAAAAACAAGAAGAAGACAAACCAAATTCAGTTGAGCAAAATCAGAAATAAAAATCAGCTTAAACTTGTCATGACCCGAAATTCTTACATTTGGAACCGTGACGGCGTCTAACATTTCAGTTGCTAGGCAAGCCAACGTTAGAATAATATTAGTCATTTTAAAATAATTTTAAATTAATTAATAACGAAGAAACAAATACGAAAGTAAGGTCTGAAATGTAGTGAATAATTCATAATAATAGCGATGTCTAAATACCATCCCAGAATTGGTGTCACAAGTGCATAAGCTACTAAAATAATACAAATAAAGGTCTGAATGCAAATAAAGTTGTCTGAAAGAAATACACAGCTATGATAAAGTAGAAGGGGACTTCAGAACTGGCGAACGCCATGCAACTATACCTTAAGTCTCCTATGAATAGCTGAATCCGAGCAAATCTACTATACACCGCTAGGACCAACTCTGGTATCTGTACAAGAAGTGCAGAGTATAGTATGAGTACAACCGACCCCATGTACCCAGTAAGTGCCGAGCCTAACCTCGACGAAGTAGTGACGAGGCTAAGGTAGGTCACTTACATTAACATGTACGCAATAACAACAATAATAGAAATACAACAAGTATCTCTTTTCAACAGTTAAAGCCAACTCGACAGTCATAACCAATTATTATTTCAATCAGTTTCCGTTGCGGCGTGCAACCCGATCTCACAATATATTCATATTCAATTATGTTGCGGCGTGCAACCCGATCCTCCAATATATTCATTTCAATTAATTCTGTTGCGGCGTGCAACCTGTTCCTCCAATATATTCATTTCAATCAATTCTGTTGCGGCGTGCAACCCGTTCCTCCAATATATTCATTTCAATCAATTCTGTTGCGGCGTGCAACTCGTTCCTCCAATATATCCATATCAATCAATTCTGTTGCGGCGTGCAACCCGCTCCTCCAATATATTCATTTCAATCAATTCTTAAATAAGAAATTACGCCAATAAATGCAATAATTAATATAAAATTTTAAGACGACAAGCATACAATAATTATAATTTATTTAGAAATAAGGGATGACATGTAACAATTAATTGTGTAAATTAAGGAGGAAATAGATAATTTAATAATTAGTACGCTAAATGTCAAGTAGCAATTAAGTCACATAAATCAAATAAGCATGTAGCAATTATAGCATGAATTCAAGGCATAATATTGAGAAAGGAATATCAGAGAAATAACTAATATAATAATTAATTCATGATTTAAAATAATTTATAATTTTTAAATAATTAGGCAAACAATTAATTTGACAACGTATAGACACTCGTCACCTTGCCTATACGTCGTTCACATGAATTTCACATAACAAATGATTCAAAGGTTCTATTCCCTCAAGTCAAGGTTAACCACAATACTTACCTCACTTTGCAAATAAATTTTAAGATTCCAATACACCTTTGCCTCGCAAATTCGTGTTAGAAAGCTTCAAATCTAATCACAAATAATTCAACATACTCAACACGAATCGTAGGAGCTAATTCTATATGAAATTATAAATTTTTCGGATTAAAATCCGAAATTTATTTTAAAAATCAACAGTGAGACCCACGTCTTGAATCCCGAAAAAACTCACAAAATCCGAACACCCGTTCCGATACGAGTTCAACCATATAAAAATTATCGAATTCCGACATTATATTGACCTTCAAATCTTCTTTTTATATTTTTGGAAGATTTTGTAAAAATCTGATTTTCCTTCCATAAATTCACGGATTCATGATGTAAATAAATGTGGAATCATGAAATATAATCAATATAGGATAAGGAACACTTACCCCAATGTTTTTCCCTGAAAATCTCCCAAACATCGCCTAAACCGAGCTCCCGGAACTAAAAAATGAGTAAAAATGGCTAAACTCCCCGTTTTATGGGATTTTTATGTCCGGGGCACCACATGTGGCGTGGGGCGCTGCTTGTGGTGCCATTTCCAGTACCTCAGATAGTCCCAGAGCCAGGGATAGCGTCCCACGCTAACCTGGACGCTGACGACGACGGAAAATATTTTTCGACACGGAATTGGGCATAACTCTCTCATACGATGTCCAAATGACGAACGGTTTAAAGCGTTAGAAACTAGACTCGAAGATCTTTTATTTGATAGGTAGATAATCACATAATTCCTTATATATGTAGAGATGCTCGTTCAAAGTTTGGTGTTGTACGTACCCATTTGAAACTTTAGTCTATTATGAAATTTTCTAACTTGACTTAGACTTAGGCCTCTCCTTAGACCTCACATCACTTATAATATGCCTCGTACACTTGTTATTATATCCAATTAGTATCCATAATATTAATAGTCCTCAAATGAGAAGTAGAGTCCGCCCCCAAGTACATAACATAACTTATCTCTTCTTTCACCCATTTTAATTTTCCGAATTTTTACTAACTCCCAAAATTTCCAAAAATTTCGCTAGAGTTACCTTTGTAACTGGGCCTATCCATCTGCCAGAGAATCCCAGAAACCAATCCTAACAACACATATATAATCCAATCAATGTAACACAACATGAAAACAATACTAAAAGTGGCATCATAAGCAATATATTACTAGAAAAGGAATGCCATTAACATCAACTATTCAGGTGATACGTAACTCATAGCAGGTAAGCTCTCAACATCTTCATAGAATACAAAAATGAACGTTTAAATTAAAGATGACATTTTGGGGTCATTACAATTTTTTAATATGTTTCATAAATAAATTTTTAAGAGAACTTTAAATTTAAAATTCTAATTTATCTCTTAATGATATGTTTTTTTAGTCATGGATATATCATGATATATTTGATATGACAGTTTCTAAAGATACATTACTTTTTGTTAGGATCAATCTGGAATTTTATATTAAATCAAATATAATCATATAAAAGTGATCTAGTAACATATATTAACGTAGAAATTGCTGAATTAACGCTCATATTCATCATCTTAAACACATAAAAACATTTAGTCGAAATGTAGAATATTAGTAACAGAAGAGGCTTATAACATTTGAATCATTGAGTGTAGGACAAGTATTTTATGAATGGATTCACGTTTAATTGTATAAATATTTTATACTTCCAAATTAACTTGCAGTATGTTATAAAACTAGCATTAGTATAAGTGTGTAAATATTTTTACACTTCCAAATTAACTTGTAGTATGTTATAATACTAGCATTTTTTTTGCTTATAATGTTAAAAGGTAGCACAAATTATATTGGGTAGTTTATAAGATTTCATTGGTTGTAATAGCAAGGAAAAAAGATCTAATTTGTAGTGAAAGCATTTACATGCATGCATCATACCTTGGATGTCAAAGGGATACGCATGAAGTACAACTGAAGACTTGATAAGTTGCTT